ACCGACCACCCAGACCAATACTCCTCTATCTATAGCGAAGCGTGATACAATTCTATGTGTGTGAGCACGGGCGTTGGTAGAATTCAGCCTTAGGAATCAACACACGCAGAAGACATATAAGACCATTAGGCGCATGAGACTCTACAGACTACGGACTGAGGCAACAACTGCCCCGCACGATGTAGAGGTTATAACGTAAGCTTACCACGGATTGTTTATCGCTATGATAATATAAGCCAAATGTCTCACGACATAATTAAGTTAAACTTCCGTTTCCTAATACAAGAGTTCAACCGATCACATCAACAGCGCGAATACAAAAACTCAGTTTATTTGGATTAGCATTGCATTGAGGAACATTTCGTAATCACCCATGCTGTTTGCACCAGCGATCAGACGCTCACAAAGCGGAAGGATCTGGAGACCCCAATACCCAGAAACAAAAATTGTCTGCAAACATTTAGCAGATACTTAATCATTAAACTGTATATATTGACTGCAGTAAACCGAGTTGAACCAGAAAACAATACGTAGATCGAGATCGAGAGAAACTAACGACTAACAACAAAATATTCTTCTAACATTCACGAAATACGAGACACGCTGACATCGCGTAACAAGCAAGTTCAAACCACACAAAAAGAATGCAATTCAATACGTATTTATATTTCTATTATATAATCATAACTAGTAAAATAAAAAAAGGCACGTGTATTTTATGTAAAACCACGTCCAGAAACATATACTTAGCCTACATATATTCATATCGATGCGTGTACCAAAACAAACATCTACAAGTAGTTTGTTCTCGTCGTTTGGATATATACAATTTATTCTTGATTGATCATCAGTACGCTCGATCTTTGTGTTCCTGGCAAGCACATAAATTGATGAACGTGTCATTTTTTGATGTGGTTAAACCATCATAAATACGCATAAATTACTGTCATATATACAATAAATGTGTATGAACTTGATAATTTGCTGTCACATGGCTGCTGGATTGGATGAGAATCGTTTACAAAATCCGAATTCATACACATTTATTGTAGGCCTACATGACGTGAATTTCCACATACCATGCTAGTTGATGAAAAAGCGACATGATCATATTTTTTAATTCTGCATTGCAAGAAAATATCACAGACTAACGGATACTCATATAACAGATAACAGATATCCGTTAGTCTGTGATAATATTCTGTACAGCAGCACAAAACGCGAGCGTTATGACTCGTCAAAATAGCCGAAAACAAGAGAGCAATCGCTACTCGTACTCGTACGTGTTTGCTTAGGTATACGCGATGTTTCTGACAACGGGCCCCTAACGTTGTGCGTGAGCATAGATATAGAATACAGTATTCCATATCTATATATCTGTATTCTATATATCTATCAGGGGTTAATAATGACAAAATCTGTTTTGTCAAAATCCGTTCAAAATAATGACAAATTTGTCATTATTAAATTATTAACCCCTGATATCTATGGTTGTGAGCGCCAACTTACGGCAAACAGGTGGCCGATAATGACTGCGATGCCGATCGCGAGCGGCGCCGAGCCACCGAGCGTGCGGCCAGTGTCCAGCGCCGCGCAGACGGTCAGCAGCAGCAAGAAGGTGACGACCGCCTCGACGATGAACGCCTGACCAGCCGTGACGTCAGCGCCGAGCGTGTTGGCCGACAGCGAGCTGTTGAGGCTTGCCGGCGTGACGGCGTCGAGGCACGCTGCGCCGGAGATCGCTCCCGCACACTGCACGAGCACGTAAAGCACGGCCTTGAGCAGCTGAATTCTGCCCGTCATCACCATGCTGACGGTGACGGCCGGGTTGATGTGCGCGCCGCTGACGTCGCCGACGCACCAGACGACCGTGGCGACGGTGAGGCCGGCCGTGAGCGCGATGCCGACGATGCCGTTGAAGAAGGCGGGTTGGTCGGCACCGGAGTGCACGCCGGAGCCGCAGGCGAGCAGCACGAGCAGCAGCGTGCCGACGAATTCAGCAAGCAGCGCCCTCCACAGGTCGAAACATCCGATGCTAGCCATGCTCTTCATCAGCGATCCGCAGCAGCTGAGCTTGATACTCATGACGTACTGTGTGGGGAACGACAGATAGCGTGAATAACACCCAGGATGAAGAACAGACAGTTTGAAAGATAACCAGAGCAACAACGAACGTGTAGCAAATAGTAGGGCTGACTGAAAGTATGTGTAACACACAGTAGAACTAACAGTATAGGGCTGACTGAAAGTATGTGTAACACACAGTAGATAACACCGTCGTCACGTATTCAAACGTGTTCGCAAAAAACTAGTCAAGTTATCTTCCGTCAGCCTGGGTCGTTTTCAAGTCATATTTCCTTGATGTTGACCCTGTGCCATTTCTAGTTGTTATATATTCACTCTGCTTTCATTCATAGTTGCTATATATATTCAGTCTGTTTCATTCATAATTACTATATCAAAAGCGAGTACGTGATAGAGAAAGCAGGAGGAGAGACATAACAGACAGGCAGACAGAGTTAACTAAGCTTGTATATAATTATGATCGTAATTAAATATACTAACCCAATGTTCATCCCAGATGTTGGCTATAAGAGCAGTGCCCAGGGTTCTAGCAGGGTTCATGCTGCAGCCCGTATACGGGATCTGTGTGTTCATACAAATTATTACACATGAGTTCATTACACTTGATAGATACTGCTCGCTCCTCTTCTATAAGGATACAATTCTATTGTGTGAGGCACGCTGGTATTAGTTAGGATACACACGCAGAGACATAAGACATAGCCATAGACGTAGACATGTAGAGGTTATAACGTACTACCACGGATTGTTTATCCTATGATAATATAACCAGAATGTCTCACACATATTAAGTTAAACTTCCGTCCTAATACAAGATGTCAACAATCACATGCAAACGCGAATACAAAAACTCGTTATTATTAGCTTGCATCTGAGGAACATTTCGTAATCACCCATCGCTGTTTGCACCAGCGTCGACCTAAAGCGGAAGGACTGGACCCCAATACCAGAAACAAAATTTGTCTCAACATTTGTCTTAACATTAACTTTGACTCGTAGACCGTTGACAGAAACATCGTGATCGAGATCGAAAACTCCTCACAAATTTCTTCTTAACATTACGAAATCGTAGACCCTCTCGTAACGCAATTACACAAAGAATTGCAATTATAGTAATATTCTATTATATAATCATTAGTAAAACGTGTTTTTATGTAAAACACGTCAGAAACATATATTAGGCTACATATATTATATCGATCGTGTACCAAAACAAACATCTACAAGTGAGTTTGTTCTCTCGTTTTGGATATATAAATTTATTTTGATGAGTCATGACGCTCGAGTCTTGTGTTGCTGTGAAGAATAAATTGATGAACGTGTCATTTTTTATGTGGTTAACCATCATAATACGCATAAATTACTGTCATATATACAATAAATGTGTATGAACTTGATAATTTGCTGTCACATGGCTGCTGGATTGGATGAGAATCGTTTACAAAATCCCATCCTACCACATACTTTCAGTCAGCCCTTACTGTTAGCCTCTAGCCGCGACTACTGTTGCTGGTTTACACGTTACTTTCTAGTCAGCCCTACTGTTAGTTCTACTGTGTGTTACACTTACTTTCAGTCAGCCCTACTGTTAGTTCTTGGACTACTGTGTGTTACACTTACTTTCAGTCAGCCCTACTGTTAGTTCTACTGTGTGTTACACTTACTTTTCATCATGCCCTACTGTTAGCTTACCTGCTGTGTTACACTGTACTTCCAGTCAGCCCTACTGTTAGTATCTACTTGTGTGCCTTACACATACTTCTCAGTTCAGCCCCTACTGTTAGGCCTCTACGGACGTACTTGTGTGTTACACTACTTTATCAGGCTCAAGCCCTACTGCTTTAGTTCTACTGGTGTTACACTTACTTTTCAGTCAGCCCTTACTGTGTAGTTCTACTGTGTGTTACACATACTCTTCATTAGCCCTACTGTTAGCTCTAACGGACTAGCTGTGTAGTTACACTTACTTTCAGTCCGGCCCCTAACTCGCTTGAGCTTCTACTGTGTGTTACACATACTTTCAGTCAGGCCCATATTACCTGTTAGCTTCTACTGTGTGGTCTACAACATACTTTCAGTCGCCTACTATTGGCTACAACGTTCGTTGTTGCTCTGCTTATCTTGCAAACTGTCTGTTCTTCATCCTGGCGTGTATTCACGCCTATCTGTCGTTCCCCACACAGTTACGTCATTGAGGCTATCAGCTCAGCTGCCTGCGCGATCGGCTGATCGAGAGCACTGCCGCTCAAGCATCGGCCCATGTCTTGACCCTGTGGGAGCGGCCGCCTGCTTGGCATGAATGTGTCCGCCATCGCTGCCCTGCCTCGTGCATGCCCTCGGCCTGGCGGCGTCGCGCGTGGCACTCCGGTGCCGACCAACCGCCTTCTTCAACAGGCATCGCTCGCATCAGGCGCTCCCACGGGGCGGGCCTCACGTCCGCCCACGGCGTCGTCTGGTGCGGGTCGCCGACGCATCCCTAGCGGCGCGCACATCAACCCGGCCGTCACGTACAGCATAGCTGATGACGCGCCCCAGCAATTCAGCATGGCGGTCCAAAGGCCGCTGCTCTTACCGTGCTCAGTGCCCGGATGTCTGGCGGGGAGCCCGATCTCCGGCGCCAGGCGCTCCTCGCAGGCGGCGCGTGCGCCACGCCGGCCAAGCCTCGAACCGCAGCTCGCTTCGCGCGCTGGTCCGCCAGACCACGGGCTCCGGGGCAGCTGAGCGGTCAGCGGCTGTGACGTTCAGTCCGGTGGAGCGGGCGAGTCGACCGCCCTTCTTGCGCTGGGCGCTGCTGCAGCGTAATTAGCGTACCCTAATGCTGGCCCGCGGCGCTCGCTGGACACTGGCGCCACGCTCGGTGGCTCGGCGCTGCGCTCGCGATCGCGCATCGCAAGTCATTATCGCGCACCGTTTGCCGTAAGTGGCGCTTTACACACCATAGATATAAGGGTGTAATAATTTAATAATGAACAAATTTGTCATTGCATTTTGAACGGCATTTTAGACAAAACAGCATTTCTGGTCATTATTAAACCCCTGTAGATATGATAGAAATACAGCGATATGATAGATATGCAATACTGTATTCCGCGTTATGGCTATTCGCTCCAGCGCGCACAAACGCTTAGGCCGGCCCGTTTGCTCAGGAAAGCATCGGCACGGTCATCTGCGCTACCGACGCAAACCCAACGTAGGGCGGAGTAGCGCGGAGCAGTAGCGATTGTCTTCTTGGTTGTTCGCGGCTATCTTGACCGCCGAGTCATAAGCCGCATCGGTTTGTAGTTGGCGTGTGGCGTAAGGAAATAATCACCGCAGACTAAAAAAAAAAAAAAACGCGAATCTTGTTATCTGTCTCTGTTATATGAGTATCGCGTTAGTCGTGCTGGAAGTTCTTGCAGATGGCCAGGAATTGAAAAAATGATGATCATGTCCGCGCTTGTTTCATCAGACTAGCATGGGTATGTGGAAGATTCACGTCATGTAGCCTACAATAAATGTGTATTGAATTCNGCAGGATTAGGGCTGACTGAAAGTATGTGTATACACACATTAGAACTAACTAGTAGGGCTTGACATGAAAGAAGTGTAACACACAGTAGAGCTAACAGTAGGGCTGACTGAAAGTAAGTGTAACACACAGTAGAGCTAACAGTAGGGCTGACTGAAAGTAAGTGTAACACACCACAGCTCACACAAAAGACGGCTGACCTGAAAGTACAGTGTAACCACACAGCAGCCTATGAGCTAGACAGTAGGGCTGACTGGAAAGATGTTAATCACACAGTACGAATGAACAGTAGGGGCTGAACGCAATAATTAGTTAAGTGTAACACAGTAGAGCTAACAGTACGGTGCGTGACTGAAAGTAAGTGTATACACTACAGTAAGCTAAAGTAGGGCGGACTTGAAAGTAAGGTAATCATCTACAGTAGAAACTAACCATAGGGCTGAGCCTGATAAGTAAGGTAACACAACAGTAGTCCTAGAGTACCAGAAAAGGCTGACTCGCAAAGTATGTGTTAACACACACGTTAGAACTTATACAGGTAGGGCTACTGAAACGTAAGTTTAACACACCAGTAGAGCCTACAGTAGTACTTGACGAAAGAAGGTGTAATACACACAGTAGAGCTAACAGTAGGGCTGACTGAAAGTAAGTGTAACACAAGTAGAGCTAACAGTAGGGCGACTAAAGTAAGTGTAACACCTACATAGTCCTACAGCTCAAACAAGTAGGCTCGACTGAAAGTAAGGTGTAAGCAGCACAGTAAGTCCTAGAGCTAACGGTTAAGGACGACTGAAATGTAAGTTGTAAGACACACAGTAAGCCTAACAGTAGGCGCTGACCGAAAGTAATGTAACACAACAAGTAGACAAAAAATTAAGAACCAGTATAGCTGACCTGAAAGGGCGAAGGTCGTAAACACACAGTAGACTAACAGTAGGGCTGACTAAAAGTAAGTGTAACACACAGTACAGGTTAGTACAATGTTAGTACAAGGTTAGTACAATTAAGTAACAGATAGTAGAGATAATTGAAAGTAAGCGTACCACTCTCTAAGGGCACAAAAGGTTAACAGTCAGTAAGGGTAACAGATGCTATGTGTAACAGTCAATAGAGGAAATCGACAGTAAGTAAGTACATATTGGTTAATTAGTAAAAGTAACAGACCGCGTAGGTAACAATTAAGCAGTAATGCTGGTGGTTAGTATTGATAACGACTAAATAGTACGAGGCCTCGTCGGCAGGCCTCACGGCTATGAACCTACTTTGATCCTACGCCGATGTCAGACTGCGGGCAGCTATAGGCTTGAGCGCTCGCACATACCCCTTTACGTCACCTCACCCGTTGTTGTTTGCGCAACGCTGTGCCGGATGGCAGCGAATTGGCGCGATGTATCATAACGTCATGTTTTCACGGACGGTTTTTTTTCTTGAAGCGGCGTGACGAATGGCTGACGCCGCCGCGCTTCGCGCTCCGAGCTAACACAGTGCATCGCATCAGCGCTCTACGCTCTTTACCGCGCGTTCAAAGGTTTTCTCTATATCCTGCAGACAGAGATAAGATCATCAGTATTCCTTTCTCATTTATAATCGACGGCGACGAGGCTTTTGCGGTTGCCACCTCCGCCGCCAGCCATCCTCAAATGCTTGCAAACAGGACGGAGCTACTGCACTGGCGTATACTAACTTCAATCCCGACTCGTTAACCTGGACCATGAGGTATGACTGTATATAATATCTCAACGCGCTTACTATGCTAATCGTATAATCACCTGTAACGCACTATACGTACATCCCAGCTACGCTACCGTCACAATCACCTTCGCTCACGCCTACTCTATGTAATCATCCCTAGCGGCACGGCTCACGTATGTAAATTACCATGTAGCGCACTCCCTATGAATACGCTAAGCTACGTCATGAATACGCTACGTCATCACCCTTCTCTCACACCGCCTTGCATATTCAGTTACACTGCCCGAGTTGTTTAAACGGACCGGGAGGTATGACTGTAATATATTATGACGGGGGGCTTTTGCGTTGATAGACTCGGCGGGCTAAGACAAAGTGAATGTTCGGTTCGTAAGATGTTGATCGGTGCCCGATGTGAAGTTAATGCGGAATTGTTATGTAATTCTAAATTTATTTATCATAATACCCCCTTCCCAATCCGCCCTACCTCTCGCTGCTCTACAGACACTCGTACATATCTTATATGTCTAATATCATTTAACACAACTTTGTTACGATTTATCACATAACTGTAATCAATCGCCACACTCGCGTCTATACTATCACAAGGCGCCTATCTTTCCTTCTACATTGTGAGCACATGTTTATTTATTTGCTCGTTTAATTGAGTAATTTTGTCACGCCCCTTGTTATCATTTATCACATATCTATAATCATCTACTACTTATTTACTATAATTTATCACACCCCTATACTTACTATGAACTCTCAGTATTGTTTATTACTCCTCTATAAACGTTATGCCTCTTTTCTGCTATTTATCACACCATTATAATTATTCATTAACTAATGAGTATCATTTATCACAGCCCTTTGTCGACCGACATTACACCTCTATAATCATTTATTTTTCACACCCTTCCAACTATTATCACACTTCCCATACGTATTTACCACACAATTCTGTGTATTTATCACAACATGACAATCGATAATCTATCACACCGAGCCTTGTAATCGATCTTGTGTAACCATTCTCTCTCCCTCCTCCACCCATCTCAGGCCCCTCGATGTCACGGCCCTCCCTTTGAGTAGCCATCATAACAGGTATCTATTTCTCGATTAATCACCACCGTGCATAAACATGACACGCGGCAAAATCAGCATGGCACGACCTACATGCATGCTTCCATATTGCTCAAAGGCATACGCGTTCAGTACGTACGTGTGCTTAGAGGTGGAGGGAACCGGATCCGGGGTTTTATTCACATAATCTCGATTATCAAAATTCGAATCGCGATCGTATTTTTTTTTTGCTGTTTTCTATCATTGCCATGGTGGCACGTGACTGAGCGTGTCTTCTTGTTACATGTTTCATTCTGAGATATAATGAAACTATGCGTATATGCCTGATCTCCTCAACAACACACATGCAATAGAAACAATAACAAACACACGATAACAATACAACAACACAGGCAGCGTTTGCGTGTGTGGCGTGTGTTTGGCGTGCGTAGCGTGCGTACTGCATGCGTGCGTGTGCCTGCGTGTGCGTGTGTGCGTGTGCGCGAGTGTGTGCGTGTGTGTGTGGTTGTGTGTGTACGCGTGGTTGTGTGTGTTTGTGTTTGTGTGTGTGTGTGTGTGTGTGTGTGTGTGTGTGTGTGTGTGTGTAATGTGTGTGTGTGTGTGTTGTGTGCGTGTGGCGGGTGTGTGTGTGGGGGTGGGTGCGGTGCGTGCGTCGTGGCGTGCGTGTGCTGTGGTGTGTGTATGTGTGTGTGTGTGTGTGTGGTGTGTGTGTGGCGGGTGTGTGTGCTGTGTGTGTGTGTGTGTGTGGTGCGGGTGTGTGTGTGTGTGTGTTGTGTGTAAGTGTTGTGTGGTGTGTTGGTGTGTGTGAGTTCTGTGTGTGTGTGTGTCGTGTGTGTTGTGTGTGTGTGTGTGCAGTGTGTGGGTGTGTGTGTGTGTGTTGTGGTGTGTGGTGTGTGTGTGTTGTGTGTTGTGTGTGTGTGGTGTGTGTGGTGGGTGTGTGTTGTGTGTGTGTGTGTGTGTTGTGTGTGTGTGTGTGTGTGTGTGTGTGTGTGTGTGTGTGTGTTGTGTGTGGTGTGTGTTGTGCTTACGAAACAGCATAATAGCTTGTTTTGTTTGGTATAATGTTCTTTATTTCCAGAAACACATATGTACATACATTATATTATACGTATACAGAATACTACAGAACTACTGTGATGGTAAGCATAGTTCAGTGATGTACAAACAGGTAAATGGCATAAACAGTTAGCAAAGATGTGAGCATATAGATGGCGTACAACTACTATCGTTATCAAAAAAGAAAAAAGTACAGACTTTACCTAAAACATTAGTATGTATATGACAAAACAGTAATAATCCTAACTCATATATATCTTATATATTTACATGCACACACACACGCACACGCACACGCGTACATGCACGCGCGCGCGCACACACACAAACACACACACACACACACACACACACACACACACACACACACACACACTTGCACTTGCTGCTCAACAGCATGCTTGTTGCTAGACATATGCCTCCATTTACTACCAAAAACGTACAAGCCCCTTTTTCACTACCCTCTTACTACACGTAGCAGACAATTAAAGCAGTAGCGTCTTAGCATGTAAGCTCAAAGAAACACCGCTTCTTATTAAGTACTCCGCTATGACAACCGCGGATGAATAAATCCAACTCGATACAGGAACATAATCTGATATATATAGATTTATAACCCCTGCAAAAAACCGTGTTCGCTTGCTATCCACGAATAGTGCCGAGTTCATGAAAAGTTTGGCTGACGGAAATCGGTATGAGTTATTATCAATAACCATAAACTTGTTGCCTCTTAAAATGTAAGTCACGCAGTGACAGGATTCCATCGGAGTGTCGACAGACAGTGCAGGGGCGATCGCATTTGATAACAGAAAGGCTCTTTACGAGGCAAATTACTTTGCGGCAAAATCCCTTTCCCAACACACACGTACGTACACT